GAGAGAGAGAGAGAGAGAGAGAGAGAGAGAGAGAGAGAGAATATTTGATTAGGATCGCAGCCTGCTCGCCGATTGCGTCTCGAAGACACGCGCCTTTTGTCTCGATTCTCTCGCGTTTCGTTTAATCTAGCATCGAGCGCGATATCGCTTTTATTATAGCAATATCGGGAAATTTCTTTCGGCCGGCCGATAATCGAACCTGCGACGGAGTAAAATTTTTATCGCCGGCTTTTCCTGGAATCTGTTAACGCGGAAAATCGCGTTCCGCAGATCGCGCGAAAATTCCGCGCCCGGGCCGCCTTGTAAGTCAGCTTCCTCGCCTCTTCCGCTTCGCGTTCGCGTTCGCGCGACGCGACGCGCGGAACGAACACGCTTCTTTTATCGCTCGTATCCGCTATCGCTTCGACCTCTTCGGAAAATCCTGAACGACCTTCAATACCTCCGCTACCTCTCAAATAACACCGTCGAATCTTTATACATTTATACGCGGATTCGTAACGCTCGAGGAAGCCCGTGCATAGATATAAAGGCAGTTTCGTTTTATCTATACGGTGAGCCATCCTCGTTCCGATTTGTTCGCAATAACATTTTTTCGGAATTCATCATGCCGACGATAAGCATCCGGCGGTTGCTTCTTGGCTCTCGTTGCGTCAACGATGATGCAAGGATTGTAATTGCAGGTCTTAGAGGTTCGCGGCGAACGTAGATAAATGAAAGACGGGTTTTAATGCCGTGAAACGTAGATGCAGTGTCATTATTTATGTAATATTTGGAATTCGACCCGTTCCGCTCGAAGTCATCCGAACTCCAAACCCAACAATAGTTCTTCGGAGTATTTTCACTTTCTACTACACGGTGCGTATTTAATGCATACGAAAACGAGTCTCGCGACAAAAGTTCAAGTTTTAACGCATCGCGCGCGGATTCTTTCTGACAATTTCACCGGAGCACTTTTACAAAGTCTTTCCAATTATTAATACGTCACAAACATTCGCTTCGTTTTATTTAGTTTCTCGTCGCGTACCGTTTCTCTGAATATCTTTCCATATAAACTCGTTTCTTCGCGAAGCACTGATTTATGCAAAACGGCAAAACTCGCGTTTAATTGTCCAGCGTATCCAGCGACCGACGATGTACGAAGAGCGTACGCAACGAGCGCGTCTCGCATACAATGCGTCAAACGAAAGCGCGAAAATGATTTTGTAACGCGATCTAACGAGTCTCGGCGACGCCTCGGAGTCACCGCTCGAGTGCAAAGGTTTAATAGCCAAAGTTTAGAGCCAGTTAAAGAAAAGATCGCGCTTACAATATTTAA